CTCCCCCCCCCCCCCCCACATGCATGCAAACCGCCTATCGCCCGCTATATAAATATAACTTCTGTATTTGCATTTAACACGGCTATACATATAATTTCTTTTTTTTCCCCCCTATTTATTTATCTATTCATGAGTAAAAGGATCTAAACAAATTAAATCAACAAGAAATAAAGCATAATATTCAATCAGTAGTTTTTGTGAGATATAAATAACTTATAGAATACGTTTTAAACAAGGTCAAGAGTTTAATATAATTTAAATTTTTACTAACGTGAATTATTATATGCTTTAGTAGAGATCAAATATAACTAGATGAATATTTCTACTATATATGGCCCTAATATTGGGTTAGATAGTAATCTTAAACCTACGAGAATGGGGAGTATGGATCAGAATACTAGTGCAAGAACTATTCGTCCTGAACAATGGGAACCTTGGAAAAGTTTTGGAAAGTTATTAAATGATTCAATTATTGAGATGGGATGGCAGGAAAGGTACTCAATATTAAGAGATGTTGTAAATCAATATGGGATAAGTGAGAAGGGATTTTTAACATTGGATGAATTTCTAGAAATTCTAAATGATAATCCAATAACAAATGAAGAATATCGTACTGTTTTTTATAATTTAATGGATAGGAATCAGGATGGTAAGATGAGTGAAACTGAATTTACTTCTGGTATGCTTAGTTTGAGTCCACTAGCTACTAATGATCCAAGAACTAGTATAGGACAACTTCGATTACAGTTTATATTTTTATATTATGATAGCGATAGAAATGGGTTATTGAGCTTAAATGAACTGAAGAAAATGCTACTACATATTTCAGCGATACGATCACTTGCCAATAATACAAAAACTATAACAGAATCAAAAGCTAGAGAGTATGCCATACACTTAATTGCTCATTATGATGGAGTTTTTGGTTTTAATGCATTTTATACATCAGTACTGAATAATATCTTGAAAGGAACAGGATGGCTATTGAGAACTCACAAAGATCTGGTTGATTATATTAATAATCGAGGGATCCTAGAAGATACTAGTATGGTGAATACTAATCAAAGTACTAAGTCAAAATTTTCTCCATCACAGAATAGCCTACTTTCTTTAGGAATAGAGGAAGGAAAAGGGACAGTGGATAGAATAACTGAAACCCAACCAATATCTAGGAATTTAATCCAGACAGAAACAATAACATTGGATAATTCATTTATAAAAGACAATATAAAAACACCATGTTACAATAACAATAAAAAACCATTTAATAGTTCAATACTATATAATGGACAAATGAGTGATATTGAAGGCTCTGTAAGTATAGATAAGCACACAAGTTTAGTTCGTTCAACATTATTGAATAAAGATTTGAAATATCGAATAATTGAATATTATATGGATTTAGCTCGATTTTTACATATGGGGAAACTAGGAATAGAAGAAAGTATGAATATAACAAATATAGCAACAGTTGATGAAATAATGAAATTGTGTGATACTGTAGTAGAATTATTCCGTAAAGAAAATAGTTTAATTCAGAATTCAGAATTTAAAATGCCAGTTAGAATATTTGGTGATATTCATGGTCAACTTTTTGATATTTTGCACTTTTTCGAAAAATTTTCATGGCCACATTATCATCGTGGTGATATATTATCAATGAATTATATATTTCTTGGAGATTACGTTGATCGTGGTAAATTTTCACTAGAAGTAATATTTTTATTATTCTCATTTAAAATATTATTTCCTAATAAAATTATGATGTTGCGTGGTAATCATGAAGATCCATTAATGAATTTATCTTATGGTTTTCACACAGAATGTGTTAGAAAATATGGGAGTCACTATGGTCATTTATTATGGGAAAGAGTGAATGATGTATTTGAATTTTTATCTCTGGGTATAGTTGTTGAAGATCAAATTTTATGCGTACATGGTGGGATTGGTAAAAATATTCAAACTTTAGATGATATTAAAGATATTCCAAAACCAATCCATGTATCATCTGATTGCTTTTATGATAATTCTAAACATGAATTTGAAACAGTTAATGCATGTAATGCTTATAATGTTGAAAGGAAAATATTGGACTGTTTGTGGTCTGATCCAATTGATGATGATATAAATGATGAAAAATATCTATATAATGAAACTGATGTTGATTGTATTACAAATAACTCCGATAATGAAAATAGAGTTAATGTATACAATTATAATTGTAAAGATATAGATGCATTTATGAATAATACAGGAATAAAGCTAATTGTAAGAGCTCATGAATGTATACCAAATGGTTATGAATATTTTGCAAATGGAAAGGTATTGACACTATTTTCAACTACGAATTATTGTAATAATTATAAAAATGATGCAGCTATGTGTGTATTTATGAAAAATACACAGAATGACAATTTGATCCATTTTAATCAAATTATAAAATATAAAAGCATTGATAATTCTTTTGGGTGGATTGATGATTGTACTGGTACTGGTGATAATCTGAATAATAAACATATAAGAAATAGGCAATTTGATCATGTTGACATTGCAACTTCAAGATATACAAATACACCAGTTAATCGTAATTTCAATGTTGATAATCATATAAACAAACTACTTAATAGTAGTGCATTTATTAGCAATTACAAGAAAGATAATCGTGATTTTAAAGATTCAGTTTTAAAAAAAAGTTCACCTAGTAATAGTGCTAGCACGAACCGATATGCTAATAATACAAGTCCAAGAAGCTATGGGAAAGTTGGGAATCTTGATATAGAACCAATAACTCCACATAAGATTCAGAATATAATTGGAAAACCTATAAATTTAACTGCATTTGATTAATTAGTAATATAATATAAAAGAAATATAATATAATTAATGAACTGAATTTGTTGAATCAACTTATAAAATATTAACTTTAATTACTTCTTTTCAATGGTCGTTTTCTTTTTTCATCTGGAGCTTTGGGATTACCTCTTTCATAAAAATCTTGCAATAATTTTATTGCTTCATCAGCTAAAATATTAGATTTTATTTGGATCTCTGAGTTAATATCAATAACGTCATGAAAATCAATTACTGAACCACATCCACCAAATCTATCATTTTTGCATCCATAATAAATACCTTTAATACCTAAATGAGGCAAATTTAAATAGTATACATAAAATGAAATATTGACTAGGGAAATGTCAATATCAAAGATTTATATACTTGTGATAATTCACAAATTATATATAGTTAATTAACCATATTTAAATTAAAGAAGATATTGATAATATGAATGTCAATTCAACTAACCTGCTTGATTAAGAATTCCAATACACATAATACAAGGTTCTACTGTTACAAACAAATCATAATATTGTCCGAATTCCGGTTTTAGTGGAAATTTGGTATTTATATCTTTACAATTTATTCCATCAAGTTCTTGAATAAGTTTATCTGCAAGTCTCTCCAATGCAACCACCTCACAATGACGAGTTGCCTAAATTATGACCATTAATAAATAAAATAAGTTTCTTTAAAGATAATATGAATTCTAGTCTACAAAAACTTATTACTTACATTACATGATATATTGGTCTCATTATGAGCTGCAGATTCAATCTCTTTTGTTTCTCTATTAACTAAAATACATCCTACAGGAATTTCATCTGTATCAAATGCCTTTGTGGCCTACAAAGTTTTTATAATATCTTAAACAAGTTCATTTTTTTTTTTTTTTTTTTTTTTTTGAAGAAAATCTTTAGTTCAAACTAGATTAACATCAACATTACCCATTTTAATGCTTCCTTCATAAAAAATAAAACTTCTCTCTCTGAATAAGTCATATTGAGTAAAGAGATTAATACAATACAGATCGTTCAACAAATTTCCTACTCAAATAAGGCTAATCATATTAATACGGCGCTCCTACCGACTTTCATTTTACAAAGGATTTAGTTTATAAGAAAAAAAGGAACTCTTGAAATAGACATAATATGAATAGTTATATTGTAAATCTACTTAGAATTTGTGAAATGTTATTTCAACTTGTTATATATATTATAATAGTTTATTATTTAATATGGCACTTTTTTATTGAATTTTCTAAAATACAACTAAACTGAAATTCCTTACTTTTAGTTCCCCCTTTCTTCCTCTTCTCTTTCTAAATATAACTAGAAAGATCAAATATTGTATTGTTACTTTTGTTAAATATATTGATATATTTAATATCAATTCGTGTATATAGAAATTACCTGAGGTAAAATTATAAATTAGTTAAGTCATCTAAAGATATTAAAAAACTTTAAGTAAAATTTACCTTATTATCCACTTTATTGATATTAATATTCAACCTAATAACTTAATTAGGCTAAAATAAACTAATCTTTTTTAATATTCAAGTCTTAGTATCAATCTTAAAAATTTATAACCAATATTTGAAGCAATAAAGTAACTAAAAAATCTCAATTAGAACCAGATTAAATAATAAAATAATTCAAATCTATTAATATAAGATTTGCCCAGTATTTAGTATTATTTATTTAATTATTAGATTCAGATATTGTTTTTGTCAAATTTGTTCTATTTAGTAATCTCATTCTCCAATCAATAGAAATTCTTCTTTTACTACTACTATCTCTATCTATTGTTGAATCATTGCTACTCAAAGATTTTGTTGCTGACTCACATATAATTTTATCCTTATCTGTAATATATCTACCACTATTACACAAATCATTCTGCTTATATTTGTCTTTACTAGATGTTAACAATAAATCTTTAACATCTGTTACTTTAGTATCTTTAATTGTATTTTGATGTAGATTTTGTATTTCAATCCCCAAATCTCCCTCAAAAAATGAAAATATATCATGTTTTTTATTTTTTGAACTTCGTCCTTTAATCTTTTCTTTATAATTTATTGATACTTCTCCTTTTATTTCACTATTATCTATCTTTTTAAATAAACTTTCATAATACCTTAATTTCTTCATCTCTCTTTCACTCATTGTAGGATCAAAATAGGCTAAATCCCAACGAGGACCATCCCATACCAAGTTTTTCTTATATTTTTTGGTAGTTTTAACTTCTAATTTCTCACTTATAATTGTAGTATTTTCATTGGATACTTCTTTATTGTGTACCAATTCTATATTTATATCTGGATCACTATCATTGTATACTACACTAATTTCTGTTCCACTTTTCTTATCTATATTATTAGATATACAACCTTCTAAATAGTCAGATCTTATATTTAATATATTTTCATCTAATCCCTTCATAGATCCATAGTAATGATATTTAGTAATTCCATTAAAGTAAACTATAATAGAACTTGTAAAAAAACAAGTAAAATTATAGGCCATTATTAGCGGAATATTACCGCCTATAGTACCTAATGTAAATTTTTTATCAGCTGGTGTTATTTTTATGAGATCCCAAAATTTCCTCATTTTTGTTTCAATATTAATTTCAATTAATTGTTTCTTAGAATTCCCTATCTTTCTTTTAATATATCATTCATAAGTATTTATATACTTGAATATAATCTCAGAATATACATTACAGTTGTAAATATTAAATAAATTGATATTTTTTCCAAAGTTTTCACCTTATAACCTATATAATGATTACTTTTGTATTTTTACTTCTCTTTTCTTTATTTCAAATTATTTGTAATTTTTATTCATCACATTAATAAATATTTATTATTACCAATATTGTATATAATCTTAGTTATAGATTGTTGTATCAATACTTTAAGAACAAAATAATTGTAATTTATATTCTTCAAAATATCTAGACGTTATTTAGTAAATAGATTACAATTTACATATATATATATATATACATACATACATACTATTTTGTCAGTATAATAGTATTTATATTAGATAATTAGTGTTTTATTATTATTAATTTAAATATTTTTTTTTTTTACTTTAGACAATTATTCAATATATTATAAAGGAATAACCAAGAAAATCTAATATTACTAAATTTTTTTTAAAGGAGATATTATTACAAAACTATAATATAATAGTTTAAAAGTATAATAACTTTTGAACATGATCTAAATATTGAAATATCCTTGTATAATTGGTAGGATTTGCATGTTATATTCTTAGTATCAGAACTTATTGTTTATAATTTAGTTAAACAATGAAATATTCAGTTCTAAAATATTAGGGAAACTATTAGTTTTTAAATAATTTTGTAAAACATTTATAATAGATAAAAAGACAAAAACAAATATTTTTTTTGAACTTATTTTGACAATATATATAATTATATATTAAGGATGATATAGTTTACTAGAATTTCATATATTAATGCATGATTGCAGTATCAATAGCATATTTGGAATATAAATTATTTATAGTAAGTTTGATATAATAAAATAAATGGCTTATTTATAGTATTATAAGTAGCTAAAGATAAAAAATTAGTACAATATTTATATAAATATTAACTAACTGTATTTTGTTTATTTTTATATAGAACTCACAAAGTCTTGATTAACAGAAACCCGCAATTTGCAGTTCTTTTACAGGTATAATTTTTTCAATCTAGGTCAGACGTTAGCGGCTTTAAAACATGAAGATCTTTGCGCTCTAGATCTAGTAGCAACCCCTGTATACAACTTCTTTAATTATACAAAAACTTATGAATGCAAGTTATATGGGATTTATAGATACATAGTAAGGATGTGTGATATTGGTGACAATGATTTGCTAACAACTCTATTTAGTGACATTTTGCAGCGGAATGATGTAACAATTTGTACAGACTCATCATTAAGAAATGATAAACTATTACATGAATATGTTAATACTTGTAAAAATATAGAGCATAGCTTATGTAAATATAGTAATAGAAATAATAGCTCAATATGTCGATGTCAAAGTAAAAAGCAAATAAATGGTGAAATGTACAATAGATCACGTAAACGAAGTTATCGTTATAGTGGAGCATGTATAGAACCAAATATGAATTTAAAACAGTTAAATGTGACTAGTGAATTTGAAATTGGAGAAACTAACTCAAAGTATCTTGATTCAAATATTGATATTCTAAATAATGTGGGTAACAACCCTTATTCATTGTTTGGTGGCTGTTTTATTGACCTAACAAGAATAAATTGTTGTATAGAACATTTTTATAGTATTGGATCACTTCTTAATAGTAATAAAAAATCTGTTGATAAAGAAGGTAAAATATTGCAAAATCAAAATGGAAGACAAGATAATTTGAGTAGTAATCGTCCTCAACTATATTGGGCTTATCATAAAGCAACAGGATTTCCTGTTGTTATTAAAATAGTAAAAAAATCTAGAATATTATCATCATTTCCAGGAAGTTATCAATTATGGAGAAATTTATGCATGAAATTATTATCATTACCATTTCATCCCAATGTAATGAAAATATTTCAGGTTCTAGAAGATGAAACAAACTTTTATTTGATTATGGAAGGTTTAGAAGGTGGTGAACTTTTCCAATTTCTTGTTACAGAGCAAGCTATTCCAGAAGAAACATGTAAATATATTATTCGGCAAATTTTGGAAAGTGTAAATCATCTTCATTGTCTTCAAATGTTACATAGAGATGTAAAACCAGAGAATTTAATGTTTAGATATAAGAGAAATTCTGATAATAATTTACTTTCTCCATGTACAGTTTCATCTAAATCAACAGTTTCAAGTTCTGTAAGTACAGATGACTACAAAATTTCTAATAAGGAAGATCCTATTGCTCATCTTTCTTTAAAAAAATCTAGAGAATATTTTGAAGTAGTACTTGTAGATTTTGATACATGTCAATTACTAAATGATAGTTCTTATATGCAAATGGTCAAGCTAAAAAAAAGACTTGTTGGGACATTTGGTTACTTAGCTCCAGAAGTATTAAATGGTGGGGAGTATTCAACTGCATCTGATCTATGGAGTATTGGAATTATTTTGTATATATTAATGACCGGTATTCCACCACTACGTATAGATTTAATGTGTGACTATAATAAAGCTCTTGAAGTTTTAAAGAATGCAAGAGATCAGGGAGGTTTCCAATTTAATGTATCTCCTTTACCTGAATTCCCACTAGCTCAAGATCTATGTATTAGGCTTTTGCAATGGGATCCTAACAGAAGAATCAGATCCTGTCAACAAGCTCTAAAACATCCTTGGCTCCTAGATTCATTTAAATACAATCCTATAGGACCTATATATCAAAGAATACAGTCAAATTGTATAAATATAACACAGAGCCTTGCTATCAAAGATGAGAAAAAAGAAACTGAGTTAAAGTCATCACCATATCAGCAGATCTGTCTTCCTATATCAGCACGTATATCTACCCATAACTATCATTATCAAATGTAATTATTGAAGATCATTTCTTTTTGTTCAAAAGTTTTCATAGTCACAAAAGGATATTAGAATATTACTAATCAGAACAAAGTTTTTGATTTTTTTTTAGCCTCCATATATTTCAGTAGAATTACTAAGCTCTATTTTAAATTGTAATATTAGATTTATTTCATTATTTTGATTTAGTATATTCAGTAATATAATAACTAATCAAGTAGGCTAGTTATATATTAGTCCCATAATAAGACTAAATACCGCTACTGGTAATAGTACTGTGCATATTACACACACTTAAGCGCTTAAGTAGGTATTCCCCACACCCCATGCTTAACCTAAGGTTACCAAAAGTGAATTTCAAGTTTACATAGAAAGGTAGGAACTTAATTGAACAAAAAAGTTGTGAATTTAATTTAAGAGAAGGTTTTAAATATTAATTTAGATAACGTTTAGGCTGCTAACTTGCTATACATGCAGAACGGATTATCTGATCAAGAATTATCGGAGCAGTTAGTTCAGGTTTATAAGAATTTCCTTCTAAATGATGACGAATATTCTTCAAGAATTAGACAAATAGCTTTGGAAAATACTGAAAGTAGTCGTTTATTAGTGGATTTAAAAGATTTGAGAAGAATAAATGAGGACTTACCAAGAAAAGTTATATCTGAACCATATACATATGTCTCTCCTTTTGAAGATGCAATCAAAGAGCTAATAGATTTGGATAGAGGGTTAAACAAAGAGGGGAAATCGATGAATAAAGTTTCACTATCTGTACGTGTTGGGTTTACAGGTTGGTTTGGACGTCATCATCTTACTCCTCGTGGTTTAACTGCAAATAACGTAAACCGTATGGTTTGTATTGAAGGTATAATATCACAATGTTCTATTGTAAGGCCAAAATTAGTGAAATCTGTGCATATTTCACAGAGTAGTATGATTGGTAAATTAGATAGTAATGGGAATCCTGTACAGACTTATGTAGAGGTTCGGGATCATCGTGACTTATCTTGTCTATTCAAGGATAGATATGTACAAAGTGGTATTCCAAAGGAAGATAGTTATGGCAATAAAATGGAAGTAGAGATTGGTCTATGCAAATACAAGGATAACCAGAAATTAACATTACAAGAATTACCAGAAATGATCCCAACTGGTCAATTACCAAGAAGTGTAGAAGTTATTGTAGAGGATGATTTAGTTGAAGTAGTAAAACCAGGAGATAGGGTACGTATTGTAGGTGTATATAAACCATTAGGAAGAAAAGATGGAAATGCAATAACAGGGATATTTAAAGTTGTCATTATTGCAAATAGTATACAATTACTGAATATGAATGTTGTAAACCCAGATGTATCTCCTCAGGAGATAAAGGCAATGAAGGAGATATCTGCTAGATCAGATACATTTGAAATTTTGTCGAACTCATTTGCTCCTTCACTTTGTGGTCACGAGTATATAAAGAAAGGTCTTCTTTTGGGGATTCTGGGAGGAGCTGAGCATAATTTAGAAAATGGAACTCATATCCGAGGCGATATTCACACTCTATTAATTGGAGAACCATCTTGTGGAAAGTCTCAACTTTTACGCTTTATAATGTCTATTGCCCCATTAGCAATAAGTACTACTGGTAGAGGATGTTCTGGTGTCGGTTTAACTGCAGCTGTTACTTATGATCCAGATACCAAGGAGCGTAAGCTAGAGGCTGGAGCTACTGTTCTAGCAGATCGTGGGATTGTATGTATTGATGAATTTGATAAGATGAGTTTTGCGGATAGAGTAGCAATTCATGAAGTTATGGAACAGCAGAGAGTTACAATAGCAAAAGCAGGTATACAAGCATCACTAAATGCTCGTTGTTCTATCTTCGCAGCTGCAAATCCTGTTTATGGTCATTTTGATGATCGTATGGAACTAAGTCGTCAGATTGCTTTTCCAGATTCTCTATTATCACGCTTTGATCTTATTTTTATTGTTCGTGATGTTAAAACATCTCAACAAGATCGAAGAATAGCATCACAAGTCTTGGCTCAGATTCGTTATAAGAATTGTAACTCCAGTAATTTTTCTGGGCCTAATAGGAGTATGAGTACTGTTATAATTCAACCTGATCTTCAAGATGATGATAATACTGATGATGAGATTAATAAAATTTGGCAGACCTCAGTTTTTCAAATGTTTGAATCAAATAGTGATATGAATAATGCAAGTACATCCACAAAGCATCAAGGTAGAAGTATTGATAATACTACTACACAGAGAATCTTGACAACTAGTTTTTTAAGGAAGTATATTCACTATTGTAAGTACGTTAGAAGCACTCCAAAATTATCAGATGAGGCTATTGAGCTGGTTGCAAAATTCTTTTCTGATTTAAGATCAAGATGTCTAAATCAAAGCAACGGCAGTACTACATGTACAACTAGAACTTTAGAAGGAATAATACGTTTGGCTACAGCTCATAGTAAGCTTAAAATGCAGGATTTTGTATTGAAGGAGGATGTACAAGTAGCTTGTGAGCTCTTGAATTATGCATTATTTGGTGAATATCCTGATACTAAGTGTCTCGAACAGAATGAAGAGGCTGAAGAAAATGGCGATGATGAAGATACTTTTGACAGGGACAATCGTAGAAATGAAAAGAAATCTAGGCGAAAAAGTGATATTACATTTTTAGCTGATGATAATGGAAGTGTTCCTGCAGCACCTCCATCTTCTTCTGCTACAACTCCTGGGAGAATAGCCTTGGACCCAATTGAATCTGCAGCACGTGGTAGAGAAACTGCATTGGCAGTAGCTGATTTGCTACGCAAGGACATTGATGTAGATATAATAAGGTCAAGTAATATATCTGGTGAGAGGAAACAGCTTTTGATTTCGTGTATTGCTGAGCAATTTGCAGATACTGGCCTGGAAGCAATGCTGTTGGAAGACTTACTTGGACAGATTAATAATAAAATTAAGAATTCTAGTCATTCTAATCAGATAGAACTATCTACAATAGAAGAGTTAAAGGAAGTCATTTATCTTCTGGAAAGTGAAAATAAGCTTATGACTGTTGATGATATTATATATTCAGTTGTTAGCTAATAACAACCACAAACTTAAGAAAATAATCATCCGGTAGGTTAACTCTTCGGAATTGATTTGAATAAAAACTCAGTAAATCTAAAATTCAAACTAATAAAGATTATAAAAAGAAATATTGAGCAATTTGAGGATATAATCGGTGGGGTATTTGCAATTATATTGACATTAATTTTTTCTAACTATGGGATCATTATACATAGTTACTTCAATGGATAGTGTGAAGAACTATTAATTCTGTATTTAAATAAGATAGAAATAGCTTTTTATTTATAAGTTATTCACTATAATTAAGCAATATTCTGACGACTCTTGATGAATATTAGCTTTACTCATAATAAACCTTTTAATAAAAAATCCTATAATCTTTTCTAAGTAGTATTTAAAGTATCTTGTATTTTGCAGATTACTATGCTAGTGTGAATATACTGATTAAGGAGCTGTGATCTATCTGATCAAACTCACTGTGGTTAGCCTAATTCTCAAAAGTAGTGTCATATACCATCTATCTGATGCCCTCCCATAGAAGCTGTGAAGGGAGATGCTGGTGGTAAGTTCACAGCACCATAGGAGTTCGTTTGACCTGAATAAAATATATTACTATTTTGAATAGGAGGAGGTCTTGGAGGTGGTGGGATACCACCTGCAATAAAACCAGGATTTGTGTTGAGTAAATCAAGAGGCGAGTTAGATATCGGTATGTTTGAAAGAGCAGATGTATTTCTAGCAACACTATTTACCATATTAGGAACACTAGTTATAGCTTCATACCATTGTGTTAATTGATCTGCCATATATTGACTATTACTTTGTATCCCCTGTGTTATATCTGAAGGATTAATTTGAGTAGGTAATCTAGAACCAAATTGTCTCTGTATAACTTCCATGGTCTTTTTGTTTTTTTGTTCTCTCCAAATATCCTGAGCGTAACGGAATCCTGCTGGGCACTTTGCTTCAATAGAGTGATTTGCCTTCACAGTCTGAGCAAAATTGGAAAGCCCTGAACGTCTTAGTAAAGATGAAGATGAATTGGTAGATTGAGCAGATGCTGCAGAATAAGATTGTTGATTAGAATGTAAATATTTAAATTTAGTCGGAGTTCTTCTCGAATTTCTGCAAAATTTAGGACCTGATATCATCCCAGGAGCATTTCTATTATCAACTTTAGCAGCCTTTAATAAACAAGTACGACTCAGCATATCATACGTGAAATAATCACATCCAGCATCTATTTGGCATTGCAATTGACAATCAAATGGAGTCATTAAAGAGTGAACTACTTGTAAAGTATAGCCTGGATATTCTATATCTGAATCATAACAAGATTGGATACTCATGCTCGTAGGGAAATCTGGCAAACTCTGATTTTCTGATGATCTCTTTTTTCTATTATTACCTCTCTTATTTCTAGCTTGGCTATCGCCAATCTCATCTCTAACTTTATCAGAAACATCATAGTCACTATATTTGTCATGCTCATCATTGATTACCTTATCAGAAAATTCGAACTCTCCATTATTTTTATTATTATAATTTGGAGATTTTACAGTAGGATCTGTGGCTATTCCATTATCTTCTCTAAATTGTCTGTCCTGGTTACCTACTGATTGTATTGGAGCTAAACACAAATACTTATCAGGGGGAGCTAAGTCTTTGCAACACATATTCAAATCACCACATATCATTGGGTCTTCCTCACATTCATTCACATTAATGCATAATTTACTATTGTATGGTGATGTTATATAACCTGCTGATCTAAAACAATCACATATATAGCTTCCTGGAATATTTAAGCAACTAGATATACTCAAATCACATGGATTATTTTCAAAACATTCATCTATATCTATACATGTTTTACCATCATTATGTAACCTATATCCATCTTTACAACTACATTCACCCTGACCCTCAGCTCCACTTATACATAACTGTGAGCAATCATTTAATTTACCATTATAATCCTTACATTTATTAATTGCCCTACACCTCCCCAACTCAAAAATCAAATTTCGATCTAAGCATTCACAGCGGAATGAGCCTTCTGTATTTATACATATAGTTGAGCTTGGACAAGCACTTAGTTCTACGCACTCATCTATATCTACACATTCATTCTGTCTTTGCTCATGAACTCTATACCCTTGTTTGCATTCACACTCATATCCCCCAAGTTTATTTATACAGTGTTGTGATATCTCATCACAACTATCAATACCTAATATACACTCATCTACATCCCTACATCCAGTACCATTTAATAATCCGTCTCCCTCAAAGCCGTTTGGGCAACGACATTTTGGAGCTCCTACAAATAATGTTTCGACATAACACTCAGCATTCGGAACACAAGGATTATTTCCAATTGTGCATGCATTCAAGCCTTGGGATGATGCACTTTCAAGCAGCAAGCCAATACACCCTAACAGTACTACAAACATGGCCCAGCTTATATGTTTAATGCCCTTTTCTTTTTATAAAATATAGAAATATATTTAGAGTTAAAGATTCATTCTTAAAATTCTATAGAAAGTTAGTTCATTTGTGTTTAATTTTCTCAGTTATGCCCGAATCAGAGATTTATAACTAGATAGCTATGTCCTAATAATAAACTTGACATTAGTACACATTTAACTAACTAGGACCACTTGTAAATATTAAATTAAATTTTTTATTCTAATACTCCTATTAATCACTTATGGTTGATACTTTTAAAGTTAGGAATATCTATCATTATTCTCTAAGGTTTTACAAGTTAATAGGCTTCAAAAATATTAGCGCTGAGATATCTTAAAACAACGCTACTAGATGATAAAATTGTCAGAAGCTAGGGCTTAAGCTAGGCTACAACTAAACTGTAATAAGCATATATAACTCAATTCACTATATGTGAATAAGCAAATTTTCATCATAATTAAATAAATAAATCATTATTTTGACTATTTCAAATTTATGGACAAGACAAGTGAGTCTGTAGGATACCGTTGTAAAAAATGTGGGTCCTTATTGTTTAAGCAAGAGCATATACTGTATCATGGAGTACCTAGGAGTTCAGAAGATAGACCTCTAAAAATATTAACAGATTCTAACCAATCATTTATAGATAAATGCACTGTATTTATAAGCACAATGGAATGGATGAAGGAATTAAAAAATCAAACAGGTAAATTAAATTGCCCTAATATAAAGTGTAGAGCTAAACTAGGCTCATATAGCTGGTTTGGAATGCAATGTACTTGTGGTTATTGGCAAGCTCCAGCCTTTCAAGTATACAGATCCCGTGTTGATCTGTTATCCCTAACTGGAAGCCATGGAAACTTTGCAATTGAACTGAAATATTAATAACCTAATGATGAATATATAGGCATAGATAATTATTTAAGCAGAATTCTCATTTAATGTGTCTAGATAAGTAGCTTTTATTAAGACTTATTGATTTCCATAAGTGGAAAATACCAATACGCTATAGACAGGTTTACTTCGGAATTACACCTATATATTGCGCTTGATTAGACAGTAGCTCCCGCAATTACAAGATCTATACTTTATTTTTATACTTATGTTGGTTTTGATAATACAATGAATGCTCCCAATAATAAAGTTGAGATTATTGTAGATGATGAGATTGAAGTAAAAGTACTTCAGTCATCAATGAGTGGAAAAAATTTAATTGGTAATTATAGTGAAAAATCTGAAGATTATAATTCAGAAGTAAAATCCACAAGTGAGATGGATATCCACCAAATGAAAAGTAAGACTTTACAACCACCAACTCCACGACTAGAAAGATGGGATAGTAGATTACCAGAAGAATCTACAGTAAAATCTGACCCACAACTTTTGAAGGAGCTTTCTGAGTCTGCTTATTTTGATGATGAAAAGAACAAACTTTAATCAACTTCTCCTAAAGCTAAATATGAAGTTATTTATATAACTACAGGTTACTCATCTACAAATTATGTTACTGTACTGGAAGTTGTTTTAGGTAATAACTAGTGTGTAGAGAATTGAAGGGGAGGATGCTTGAAAACTTAATCCCTTACAAAAAGAACATAAATTATATTAAAATTAGCCAAGTTTCTTACGCCACAGTGTCACTTCTTGTCTTTTAAAGTATCTCCTATCTTCTTCATCAACAATGACTAGATTTAGGAAATATCTCACGGACAGTTTATTTTGTATGTTTTTGTAAGTTGGAGTTAGATCAAATCCACTCAAATACATCCTCAATGGTATGAATTCTTGTTTCACAGGTGCACCATCCATTATTTCAAATTTTGATAATACTTCAGTTTCTGTTATAGCAGAAGTTCCAGAACCACATGTTTCTAGGCGAATAACATCTATTTCCATATATTTAATTTTAAGCCTTACTATCGAAAAGTAGACTTTGCCTATAACAACATCTTTTAAATGATATGTTGATTTTTCATATTCCAATTCAATATGAAGACATCCTTCAACTCCAACTTCCATTTTAATTCCATCATCTCCACTTTTCGTAGTGAGAGAATTTGGGATATTTTTTGGATCACTAGATATATTCTGCACAACAAAATCTACTTCCTTAACAATATTACTAGCATAGGATCTTAATACTGTGAGACGTACAAAATAGCGTAATTGTATATTTGTACCATGATATGTCTCATAAGGTTTGTCAACCATATTAAATTTCCACTTGTATTGTTTTGTTTCATATAAACTTCCTGAAGGTTCCAAATCCTTTGTTATTGAAAAAAAATCATAAGAAGATGTACGGTCATATATAACATCAATTTGACCAATTACTTCAACTCGAATACCTTGGTGGTCTAGTTTCCTTCCTGGTTTTACATTTACAGTTGCAGTTCCACTTATATCCTCACCATCACTAAAAATCAAGCCACGTTCACCTTTCTTATTCCTACTTAATGGAGCTGATTTCCTACCAGCATCTTGGTTTATTGTTAATTCAAGGTTACATGCATTCAAGCTTGATAAGAATGCCAGCATTTATGTTCTCACAGTACCAGATATCCTATAATGAGTTATTTCAAATACTTTTCTAAGTGAATTCTCCTTAATATGTGCTATATTTCTTAAAGTTCCACTTTTTTATTAAGTAGGGAAGATGAAATAAATCCCCTAAGTCCTAGCTTCTAAAATACCACGCCAGTTTACCGCCATCACTTATAAAATATTTAGTCTTAAGTATTAACCTTACTAAAATGGTACCCCTACTTAGACTTTTAAGAAAGTTCCTTATAAATATTTGTAAGCTAGTGCGAACAAATCTTGGTTTAAAAAGTAATTCACTTGATATATTTCGTTGTGTATAAGTATCAACCAAATATCATATCACAATCTTAAATTAGCTATTTATAGGTCACAATAAGGGGCTCTTCTTATCTTTAGAAGAAATTTGATCATTCTGAAAAGCTAAATACTATTGTGTTCACTAAGTAATTTAAAAGAGTTATAGTTATTCAATAATAAGTTTTGCCTTTATTTTTTCCAAATCTTCATCTTGTGGCGGTTATTAACAAGTTGACAAACTAAAGTACTTCAAGAGTAGTATGATGTACACTTAAAGATTTCAGTAATAGTAGTTTAAAGTAAAATTGAGATGGGAACTTAAATTAACAATAAGACTACTTAAATATGTCAGTATACAGAATTATTGATACTATACTATATATTACTCTAACTTTGACACATATTATTAAATGTTGGTATAATGATAGTATTAATATTACCAAAATTCTAATCCTAGCCTTCATCTTGATTTTTCCTATATACTTGGTATATCAAGAACTAAGATTACAATTTTTAATATTCAAGGATTTTCAACTAGTTGCAAATCTAACATTTCCACTCTTCCTATCAACCATATTTAGAGGAATAACATTTAGGTATACTCAAATTATACAGAGTTACATCTTGATAGTGATGATACTAAGTACTTTGATATACTTGGATTATAAAAAAAGAAATGTTGGAGTCTATTTTAACCAGTATTGGGCATTATCATTTTTTTCAATTGTATGTTTTATTATTAGTTCAACTAAAATTCAATCATTTCAGTTACTTCTAATTTTATTATTTTCAGTGAAATACTATATTTTACTACTGAAATTTCTATCCTTAGAAAGTAGGGATAATGAAAAGCAATTTTGCAATTTCGGAGAATTAAACTTGGCTTCTCAATTTATTGGTTTTATATTAATGATATCTCTTATTATATTTAAAGAGTCCTTTAGTACACCAAATATTCCAATATGTTCCTTGTGCTTTGCTTGTATGAGTATTTTTAGCACTTTAGTATTACCATTTTATCTGTATTTCTATTTTCAGATAACAGGTGATAATGGTAGACAAGATAACGGAACAGTATTAAATATATTATATATATTTCGGTTATTCACCTTTATTATTGGACTAGTCGTTACGGTCATTGTTTTTTTACCTTATATATCTACTAATATACTTTTATACATGGTTAATAACATACTATATTCTGCAATAACTAGACTTCTTATTTTATACTGGTTAACTATTTTGGTTTTACTTTTGGTTTCATTAAATTTAATTACTAGTATATATTTAGAAAAAGATGAGATAATGAGAATTATTATTAGAAAATTTTTTCATTTAGTGACTATTACAATACTCCTACCTCCTTTATTACTTTGCAACAATTTCCAAGAAAATTATAATATTCGCTCAATTTTGAGTTTTATCTTTACTAGTACCTTTGCAGTTATAAGTATTTTTGTATATATTGAAATAATTCGGAAATCCAATATGTGTAACCGTTTTACTAATCTGACTAACTTTTTACTCTTACCATTTATTGATGAGAAAGATAGTATGAATGGATTTATATTAACTCATACATATTTGCTATTTGGATTATATTTTCCAATAATGAATGAATATTTCCACTTTTTAACAGCGCATAAATTTGATCTTGTTGCTGCTTGTATTGGGTTAGCAACTACTGGTATTGGGGATGCCTTTTCTGCTATGCTTGGAGTTCTTTATGGCAATAAGAAATTACCTGGCAATGAAAAAAAAACATATATTGGTTTTTTGTCATTTTTTGTCTCTTGTTTATTATTTTTACTCTTTATTTACAATATCTCATATCCACATTTTAGTACTCCTATTAAACTTGTGTTACTGGCTTGGAATTGCTCTTTGCTTGAAGCCTATACAAGACATATTGACAATGCTATAGTTCCAATATATGCGTTAACTTTATATCTCAATTTGAATTTATAGTAATCTTGAGTTTATTTAGTTCTAGATACTAATAGTTTAAGACTATTTTGTGTGTTGTGTGTGTTGTGTGTGTAACATAGGTTACCCTCCTTAGTAATTGAGAAACTAACCCACAAAAGAAGTTCAATGAAGAGAAGAAAAAATAAGGAATCATTTCATCAAATATTCCCTGATTGTGTACAGAATGTAAGCTTATATTATATATAATTAATTTCTTAGTAGCTTAAAATGAAAAATATATTTTACATTCCCTATTTGTTCTATATAGGTATTAAATAATCTGCTGCAAAGAATTGAGGATGGTAGTGTTCCATTACTGCAATTATTACATGAGAAACTTAGGAAACAGTTATATATATCTCAAGGTGATATACTATCTGAACTTGTTGAAAAATACAAGCTGTTATCAACACAAGATATAACAAATGATGAAATAGAAACTGAATTAAATGAAATATTTGATGGAAGTTGCAGCCGTTCATGCCTAGTACTGGGGCGTCCATGTGTAGGAAAGACTTATGCTTTATCTTCATATTTAGCAAAAAAAAAACTCAAAGTCTCAGATTCTTTATTAATAGTAATACGTGTAAATTGTATTCACTACGATGATAACTCCCTATTATATACAATACTTCAAAGATTGAATGAATATTTTCCAACTCAGAAGAAAATGTTCTCTGGTCACCAAAAAAACTTTGTCCTTAAAGAAAAGTTAGTTGATATCTCTAAATGTGGTTATACAGTTGTATTTATTCTTGAAAATAGCGAATCTATGATATTTGGAAATTCAAATACAGAAGACTTAAGTGTAAACTTTGTTGGTCAATCTATGAGGCAGATGGCCTTGTATACACTAGTTGATACTATGCATTCCTCTGATGTAAACTTGATTTTAATATTAACCAGCTCAATGTTAGATATACCTGATTATTTTGAAAAAAGAGTCAAGAGCAGATTATCCCAAAGAAGAATTTTAGTTGAATCATTTCATAATTACAATGAGAGATACAAATTAGACTCAACATTAAAAAGTATTGAGCAACTTCTTTTTCTAGATTACTCTAATAAACATGAAAATAAAAATATATTAAGCTTGAAAAATATTTATAATCAATCAATAAGGCAATTATTTGCAGCATTTTACTCTAATACTTCTTTGGAATATGACAATATCTTAAAAAAGTGGAAATTCAGTCTAGATTGTGATTTGGATCCATCTTCAATTATTGTACGCTTTGCTAGTGCATTTCTTTCAATAACTCCAGGAGACTCAGTTATATCTCAGGTACAAAATATTTGCAGTACTTTTTACCTGCAAGAGGCTATAGAATTATTTCAACCAGTATCACATTACTCCAATTCAAATAATACTTTTAACTTTATGAGCCAAGAAAGCGTTAAGATCAAATTAATGGAAGAACTATGTATTATTGAGCATATCTTATTAATAGGAATCGTTAAATTAATAAATAATGAAAGTTCAGCTAAGACATTCAACTCTTTAATGGATGAAGTAAACATAATGAAGACCTATTTATTATCTAGTGAATGTTCTGCAGTAGCGTTCAATTTCGATATTTCCGAGAATTCCTATAGAACTTCATTTCTAAGATTACTCAACTTAGGAATTTTGGAAGTTGATTTGAGCAGCAAGTTTCCAACTATTCCTGATATAGCTGGGGACTTTACTAGCATAAAATTTCCACTCCATAATATATATAGTAAATTATTGCAAAAACTCAATATTCCAACAGTATTACAATTTTGGATTCAAAATAAAATAATCAAATAAATTAACATTGATAAGTAATCATATTGTGACTTTTACTTGTATAACTTATAGGAATTGAAGCCAAGCATTCCCAATTAAGTTTGCTTCTTTTAGCTTTTGTTATAGAGCTTATTTTTCTCTTTCTGCAATATTTCTTCACTACAATATCTCTTAATTTCTTCCATTCTAGTTGACCCTTTTCTTTTAGAATTACATTAATAATTTGTAACCATTCGTTCGGTTCCCCTGTTTTATCTATTACTGCTTCTTTATTTGATCCTTTACTCTCTTCTGTTTTTTTTACCTCCGTATTCATAGTGTCATATACTTTTTGACTTTTTTCATTAGTAAATTGTCCCCAATATTTCTCCTTTTCAGTAATACATTGATTATGAGTTTGGTAATCAAAACCTTCAAAAGTCTTACTACAATCTACACATGTAAATTCCCATGCATCTGGACAATTATTAATACAATGAGAGTTTACTTTGTTCTTCTTTATAACATCTTGACAATTTCCACATACAAATGAGACCATTTTTATATTATTAAAAAGTTTTCTTGTCAAATAATGACACCAATATCCTAATAAATTTTAAGCGGGTAAATGTTAAAACTGAACTTAGGTACGAATATTTTTCTTCTAGTTTATACTCTTAGTCTCATTATAAAGTAACCTTAACAATATTATTATTGTTAGTATTAAATAACTGTAGTATATTTTCTATAGTCATAGGTACATATATACTTGTACTTACAATTCTAATTATTATGATAATCTCTAGTTCTCTCTAACTTTCTTAATACTTGTATGCTATATTATTTTTCTTATTCTTATATGATGTAAATTTGTCGATATTTCAAAATCTTCATTAGAAAATTATCTACTTTTTCAGAGATAATTTTGTTAATAATAAAATTAAAATAAGCAAAAATTAAGTGGGAAATCTACATTATAGTATACTTACATAAGCTAGTTTGTAAATATGGTTATAAATAACTAAATAAAGTTGAAATACTGGAAAAATAAGTAGGTTCTGATAAATATAGATAAGCTTCTATAATTTATTATATTTCATAATTATGAAGATTTCGTTTGACACTGTAACTAGAAGCAATTCAACAATGAAAAGTAACTAAGTGTTGATAAAGTTTAAGTTTATTGAAACATAAATGTCCTTTAGTAGGGAATAATTACAAACAAAGTCCAAACTTATTATAAAAGCAAATATATCTATCTTGTTGTATTTGAGGCTTAACATATAGAAATCTAAATTAATGAATTATGAAATTTGAACTAAAAGTGGTCGTGGTCATAGTAAAGTGTACAAATTTCAAATGTATTAGTATAAGATTTAAGTTTACTTATAGTTAATATAAACGAAATCTTATGAATTTCAAACTAAATATGATCTGCGCGAACATTCTAAAAGTAGGAGTTTTTTTCTAATTTATTCTAGATACTAAAATAATGAGGATACATTGGGAATGGCCAAATATTGAGGGTATATTATTTTGTAAATTTGATGGAGAGCTGGGTCCAATTGTATTATGTAAAGACCCAGTAGAAATATTTGGAGCAAATCAAGCATTATACTTTTCTTTAATAACAAGATATATGGTACCTGATGCTCACTTTTCTGGATCTGTTATTTCTTTCGTAATAGGAGGTAAATGGAGAGTTGTAGGTATGCCTATTGTAATACAAGATAATAAATATCTACGTAATAGCTTTCAGTTCACAGTTTGCATAGTAGTCAACAATATAAATTCTATACAACTCGAACTATTCAGTAGGCATATTGCCAAAATATTGGGATATGCTTTTAAACAGTTAGAAGAAGATTCTGGCACTGTTTACTCTTACTGTACTGGAATAAATGATAGCGAGACTAGAAATATTAGTGGAAAACTGAAATTGCAAATAAATGCTAAAGATTTGTCACATATCTTGCAAGAATGTCGGATTCAATTAAATAGATATCACAAGGTATGCATAGATATAAGTAAAAATGAAACCCTCTCATTTTATGTTAGAAACCCATCATATAAATGCAAAGTGCAATTAATAGATGTTCCTGTTCCACTTTATAAACATTTAATAAATATTAATCTACCAGGAATTGATATATCACTCATGCAAATAATTCCATATATAAATGGTAAAAATACCAGCTATGAAATTGCAAAATTATCACTCCTACCATTTGATAATGTTATTTTATGTTTGGAATACTTAATTTATTATGGACTGATTGGGATTATAGACATGTTTTCTTTAGATAATATGTATAGATATATTGGATATGACAATAAGGAATATGATAATACTGAAAACTTGTATATTTCTCTTTCTAATGAATGCTCAAATCTTTTTAATAATCATAAAAGAAATGGCTGTGTACGTACTTTCCAACAGAAATTTTCAGAAAATCTAGAAAATATGGAAGTAAAAGATATTCATCTATTCATTATTGAAGGTATATTAAAGCAGAAGATAAAGAGGATACATGAATATCCTATTATATTTAATAATAAGTCAAAATCAGAGAATCCCTCTCTAAATGAGTTCAAGAAATCTTGTTTGGGTTTACACTCATTAGATTATATTCAAATAATGTTTGGATATAATTCAAAAGAAGAAGTTATACAAGAACTCACTAATTCTATTGATCATGATGAGGAATTATATTGGGCTTACTATTGAGATATAATTTCAAAAGTTTCTAAGATTACTCACTATATAAAATTAAATATGTATTTCAGAATAAAAGTTTTAGATATATTCTATATAAGAATATTCGAAAATAGGATGAAACAAATGCTATTAACTAGGCATTTTCATTGGTACTTTTCAACAGTACCACAGATGTAAGCGCCTTTATTAAATCCATAATTGACAAGAGCTGTTGACATACAAAATAGATATACTTCCTCAAGATAGATGGATTTTATTGTTTATAATTACAAGGGATATGCAGAGTAGCTTTAGTAGAGATAATAAGCAAGCGCAAGTACCAATTTTGACTGATAAAGACGTAGATGAGATAGTAGTAGAGGGTAGTATGGAAATGTTTGATGATAGAACCTACGATTCAGAAGAATCAGGAAGTCAAAACTCCAATAGTAGTGATAGAAATAATGCAGACTTTTTAGATCGTGTAGTCGACCAATTTCATGGAAATAGAAGGTTGGGTGGAATGCACTCCTTGGGTAACGATGGAGAAGAGACTGGACCATTGCTTTATGGGAGTAATGAATCACAAAATATTAAGATGTTATCTAATATCCATAAAAGGCATCAAATAAATAGTAGTGATCATGTTAAGATTGGTGGAAGTAGAGAATTCTTAGAGGCTTTACAAGCAAAGACAAGAAAGTATATTACATTTGAGATAGGGCGTGGATATAGACGTTGTCTACTACTACAAACAGGAGAACTACTAAGATTGGTACATTCATATAATAAGGAGTGTGTATTACAAGATACTGTTCCAGGAGCTCTGAAATTGCGTGATTTGAGGCAAGTTGTAAGTATTGGTAGTTGTCAGAGACCTTCAATAGAAGTTCGTAAAAATTGTATACTAGTCAATGTCCCTCATTTCCGAGTCATAATACTGCATCAAAAAGTTCTTTTAATAGACTCTGGATACTTAAGATCACCACTAGAGTATCCGAGTTCTAGTATAAACATCAACAATTCAAATAATTCAGGTATTTTTAACAGAAAAAGTAATGACTTTATGAAATCTCAACTACAAACAACTCCATCGAGATATCCATTATCTGGTCAAGATATAGATGGGACTATTACTGTAAATTCTACTGTTCTGTCTCCTACTACTGATGTGATTGGTTCACCTAATTCCCAACATCAAAGACAAATTGATATGTACAATGATACAAATTATGACAATTCAATTAATATACCATGTAATAATGGTTCAAGTAATAGCTATTCAACTTTTTTCCCCAATTTTGGAATTGAATATACACCTATAGATGGCTTTGCTGACAAGACTATTACTTCGTCTGGATACCAATATATTCCTCCAGGAATTGAAGATGGTTTTCCACTATTAAGAAAATTGGAACACTTAGCAAATATTCCGAGTTCAACACCATTTGAATGTCTTGTATTGGAAACTATTTTGGTTGAATCGTGTAACATAATTAATAGACAAGTACGTCCTATTAGGGATTCAGTATTATATATATTGGATAGTTTTCAGAGTAGAAATCGTGAAACTAGACGATTACTAAATGCAGTATCAGAACTAAGGAGGAGGCTTAATGCTATAGAAGAATTAGCACAAGGGTTATTGAAAGCAATTACTGAAATGCTAGGAAATGAAGAAGATATGCAGAGATTAGAAATTTCTTATTACTGGACAAGACCCGAAGATTGGCAATATCCAAAAAATACACCATATCATGAGGAGGTAGAGAATGTATTGGAATGCTATGCCCAGGAAGTTGAAATGATGCTGCAGCAGATAGCATCTATTGGTGAGTCATTAGAAGATGCCTTAAAAGTACTAACACTAGAAATGTCTTCACTAAGGAATTCAATTATGAAAGCAGACTTAGGTTTATCTATAATTGCAACTATAGTGGGTTTCTGCGGTTTTTTCGTCGACTGTTTTGGTATGAACCTGAGAAGTGGTTTGGAAGAGGTGGGACCTGCACTATTTTGGTTCATTACTTGGGGTTTAGTAGCTCTTTGTGCTGCTGGAGCAATTGTTGTGTTAACTACATTCAGGAAGATTGACTTATAGGACTTCCTAGCAAAGTACAAGTTATAACTTAAAATTGAGTAATTTTTAATAAAATCTAATCATCTAAAATCTACTTGATTGAGTTTATTTATTTTCAATTGGCATACAACCAAGAAGCTCACGCAATGCCATTGTTACATAAGATGACTTTGGAAGTATACATGTAAATATTGCTGCTGTAATATTTGATTCACCTACATCAGAATTAATTACGTTAATGCCTGATTGACATATTGGATGAATTCTATTATATCCAGTGCAACTTTGATATCCTCTATTATCTAGAAGTATATCAAGGTCACTTTTTAATAATTTTGATTCTACAAAAAAATCTGACTTTGGATCTTCATTATTAGGGACTTTTTCGATAGCAATAAAATCTGCATATTTAGGTATAACAACTAAATTACGATAACTACCAGGTAATCCAATATTATCTTTTCCAATACTCATCCCTGTGTATTTCTGCCATATTTCAATATAAAACTCAAATAGATTTGGAGGGTAAATTATCTCATCTCCTGGAAGCGAAAGTACAATATCTTCAATATTGTACTTTGACAAATCTGTTTCATATTCAATCGCTATTATTGAATTATTAGTATATTTAGAGTTTATAGAAATATCCATATTATCTTCAAATTGCACGGAGTCGTTGGACTTACTAATAACTAAATCTCCAACAACAGGTTTCTTACCAAATTTCCTAATTCTTTCGCTTGCTACTATATTAAATATCAATGACTGTAATGAATGAATATATAACCAGTAAGATCCTTTAGGTATATGATCCAAACATCGTTTATATATATTTGGTGATATATCTAAATTATTATTAACTAGTGCCTTTTTGTCATTATTTTCCCCCTGTTTTTTGATCTCTCTTTGCAGATTAAGAACTAAATTCCTTTCTATGTATAAATGTGAACTAGCAAGCTCCAAGTACTTGCGAAAATCTCCACGTTTTATGTACTCAATTATTTCCATAGACTCCACATTTCCTTCGTTAGAAGCTTGTTTACTGTGGAGGTCATAGCCTAAAATAAGCTGAAATGCACTTTCCCAATTTTTCTTAACTAGCTCAATACCAATTTTATATGTTGGAATTTTACTTGTTCCAAATCTTTGCAAGCCATAATAATTTATAAATCCTTGAGACTTTATACTATCTACCAACATTTTAATCGTGTTAAAAGTAAGTTTAGTACATTTACTTTCATTTAAATTACCCTCTATTTCCGCCTTTTCACTCAGATTGTTAACTAAAAAAAGATTTCTAATAACCACATGAAATAAATTCCCATCCAAGTCACCAATCTTGATTGGTTTGTAACTTGGAATTATAGAACATATGCGTACATTCCTATCCCAAGCTTTTGAAAGTGTTGCATTTATCATTTGTTCTTTTGTAACTCTGTATGCAGAGGCTCTTTGTACTGTTATCCCTCGTCTATCTTTTAGTCCAGCAATTCCGAATGATTGATCGCTGCGTTGCAGACATTTACATAGCATATTAATGACATCCATTGTATCTCTGTTTTCTTTATATATATTGAAGTGGATATAATCAGGGATTGAACTATCCCATCTCTCATCACTATTCTTCCTGCTAAACATTTTTGCAATATAACTATCACGACGTCTTCTTTTATTTATATTTATTTCTAATGTATCTAAATTGTTATTATCGCTTATAATATCTGACTCTTGCAGAGTTTTATCTTTTAAATTCAAACCTCTTAGAGAATAGACATAGTGATTTGAAGGTTTCAGTATAAAATATTCATGATCTGCAGTTATACTGGAACTGTCCCCAATTTGTTCATCGTGCAGTCTTGTGTAAAATTTCTCACTATTAATAAAAGGTTGCAATTCATTTGATATATCCATAGATAAATAGATATCAAATTTCCTAAGTAAGAAACTGACTTCTTCGTCTACCTGGTTTATATTCGCTAGTTTTGTATCTTTTAAAATCTGAATAGTTGAGGTTTCAATTGTCTGAGATATTAAAAAAGGAAATTCTTTTTTAATTAAATGATGAAACTTCCTACGTCTCTCCTTAGCATCATTATACTGCTGAATAGTATGTCGTATATCATTTTTGTCTTTGTTAGTGTCATTATGTAGTAATACATTGCTGATTTCCTTCTTAATGTGAGAGGTCTGTATATGATTACATTTCATCTGGACTATAACTTGACAAATACTAGCTAATTTTCCCTTAGAATCAAGTTTTAGAAGCTTCGGTGTAATATCATCATTTTTGATAAGCTCTTTAATTAGTCCAAGGAGATTTATAAATGCAATGATACATTTTATACTCCTTTTAGTTATGCCAATTTCTTCCATAATATTATACAAATTATCACTAAGCTCAAAACTTAGGCCATCTAGTATTCCTTCTCCTGACAGAATTTTATTTTGTTGCTTAAAATCCTCTAAAATTTTGTGCTTATCCCATATTTCTGTTAAGTGGCATATTTCATTATTCAATGTCATCTCATAAACATGAAAATCTTCAAAATAGCGCTTAATATTACCTTTTATAGAAGTCTTTGTATCTCGTATATATTCGTGAATTCCATAGTCATCTTTCCTATCTTCAATATGTGACATTTGCTAAACAAGAAATTTTTAGTCTTATTGAGAGTATATAGAGAAGCATTCTATCTTTCAACAATGTAGAACGTGTTGCGCGTGATACTTGGCGTCATTTATACTTTGATTACTTAATCTATCTACTATGCCATCCTTCTAAAAACTTTGTTTATCGGAACATATGTTGTTTATATATTATTTATTCCAACTTCACACTTTCTTTAAAATTATTCTTAATTTTTGTATTAATACACTGCACATATATTAAAGAATACAATATAAAATCAGATGGTAATACTTGCTACAAGTTAAGGATTAATTGGGAATTCAGGCGACTATTACATTTGAGAAGTTAAATAGAGTATTTGATCAGTAATTTCCTTCTAATTACTGAGAATATAACGAAGATTCAGGGCTGAATACACAATAATCAAATATAGGTAAATCTTAGATATAGTTTATATCATATCTTGACTAGAAGTATCGACTTAAAATTATCATGATATATATCAAATATTATGTGTAAGGAATTGCAATATACAACTTTCAATGACTGCACAGCTATTTATACAATAGTATGCTGACAAATAAGTAATGACTTAATGCAATATTTCTTATTAAACCATCATGCACTAACAGGAACTAAAATTAGTGAAGTACACTTTCTTAAGTTCTAATTATATCTAGTATATTACTAGATTTATATTAAAAGGAATTGAATAGTCTAGTAGTAAATTAAATATACATCTTCAATACTAAAAGGAATTAAAATCAAGATCATGTGTATTTTTAAGAATTATATTTTGTAATCCAATGATTTTTAGTAGGTAGCTCATTAATGTTTATAAGGAGCGGAAGTTTCAGTCTAAAGTATTACTTTTAGCTATGTATAACTTAAAAATGGATAATAAGTGGCCACTTTTTAGTATGTTTCTTAAGTATGAAATGTTGGAATATTTAGTAGTCATTTTCAGTATCTTCATTTTTCAGACCGATTTATTTGTTTATTCAAATTCGCTCTCCAGCTTGCATTAGATTTACTACCTTTTTGTTGGCTAGATATTGATGAATTAAATAAGGGATTATTACCAATATTTTGAGCCAACATATTGCTTCTAAACAATACACTTCTTGTCTTATCAGAAATAACTTGAGATGCGTTACTAGTTCTATCAATCATTTCAACACGATTCCTTTCATAGTCCAATTTTCCATCGAGATGCAAATTTCTAATTAAATTTACTATCCATCTCTCAGTTTCTGTATTTGTCATATTTAACTCATGTGCAATAGTATCCAAATCTATTGATTTGTGTATACTACAATAAATTTCAAATATTAGTAATCTTGCATTACCCTGTATAAAATTACGAAGTGGGAACAGAAAATAATCATTCTCCATTATTGAGTTGCACTTTACAAGGATCTCTTGAGAAGAGTCAAAGTCAAAATCTACTAATAGTTTATGTAGTAATTCAGTAAATGAATCTCTATAGCTATTTCTATGGAATGACAGAGTATTCACAATACTATCTAAGACATCTTTATGACGTCTCATCAAAATTCCAAAGCAAGCCAAATATCTAAATAGATGAGGGCATATAATAGCAACTACTTGAAAATTTCTTTCAGATGCAAACCAGTCTAGAAATGGGCACCATGTATTGTTAGTTGGATTATTTGGATTTGAGTTTGTATCTATATTTGAATTTGTACTTCCTAATCCCATTATACCATGAGAATTATTTGTATAATTACTAGTTACCAAAGTTTTATCAGTATTGAATGAAGATTCACGTACATATTGATTGAATAGTGGAAATAAAGCCCAGTGTACTAACCAACTCTTATATAAATATACCTGCTTTGGATTTATCTTGTGAAATTCTCTTGATAGTGTATCATCTATTAATTGGAAATAGTTTAAATACATAGATGGCTGGATAGTATTCTCACCTAATGACAAGTTAGATACTATACCATTTGCTATTGAACCAAAGTAACACTCTATTCTAGTAGTTAAGGGTATTTCTATGTTTGTACACTCAGGTATGATCTTTAATAGTATATCCAGCATATTCTGAGACTCTTTATACCTCCCACTTAAATAATATAATCTAGATAATCTTAATAGCTGTTGAATTGGATTGGGTGGAAAAATAGACTGATTTGTCGAAATATTTGATGCACCAACAGAATTGCTCATAATTACTTCCTCAAACTCTATATTCTCATTATTACAGCTACTGATGTACCACTGTTGAAGCTCAGTCAAAGATTTACGCTTTAAACTTCGGCTAGATTCATCATGTATGTCTTTCCATCTCTTCAATGTTGTTATAAATGCTTTTAATGACTGCGCCAAAGATTCCATTGTTTCAGTGTTCTCTATCTCCTTTGCAAGTGTTTCAGCTAGATCTACTGAATCCAACTTCCTCATCTCATCATACAAATGGGTAGTCTTTAAGATTTGCACCTCCATCGATAGTACAGACTTCTCGTAATATATATTTCTCCCTTTGAGCCACTTGACAATGTAAAGTAGCATCTTAGAGTCCATATATGGTGAAATTAAGTTGATATTGTCATAATTCTCAGTATATCCATCTTTATATATATCTGCCATCTTATTTGTCAAAACTCCTATAATCAAGCTGAAGTTAGGAGTTTTTTAGTTACTAAATATTCTAGGTCCTAATATGAGACAGCCCGCCTAAATGTAGCGGTTATCTCTTTTCTTTTTTTTGGAAGGAGTTGCAACCTTGACTTTCACTTTAACAAGTAAACTTTAGTAAATAAGTAGTAATACTAATTTTAATATACTCATAAAGCAGTATAATCTAGCTAACCAAATATAGAAGTTAGTGCATAAATCCAAAGAAATGAAATTTCACCATGAGATTAGGAATTCCATAGATTACGCGGGATTCTCTGGAAACACAAACATCCGATACCCTTAAAGTAATATATGCAACTTCAGATGCAGAAAAAAATAAGAGCTTTCAAAACCTGAAGGAGATTGCATTAGTTATTAATTTTTGTGTGTGCCTCTAAAGAATAGACCTTTTGAAAAGCCCTCTGTAGTGCCACATCTTAGACAAGCTATCTCAAATCTAAAGTTCATTGCAAGGAAAAATTAGAGGTAGTATATACCAATATTCAGAAGTTAGTATATTTAGATTTTGTATATGTACATTAAAAAGTTGCAATGTGGCTTTATACAGTAGATATAATCTTATTCCTTATTTTGGATGCAGTAATTATGCAGCAAGCTATGAAGATGAGATCCAGTTACTATCATGATATACAATTAATTAATGTTCCTTCAATATCACATCGTTCAAGAACATGTTTTATATTGCTATGCTTAATTGCAAATATTACAAGAACACTTTCTATATTTATTTTGGATGTAACATGGTTTCCAATAGCTGGATATAGTAGTATATCCTATAAAAACACTGATTTGGAAATGTGGTCATTCTGCTTATTAAGGACATTTCCATGCCTGCTACATCTTTCATCTTACTCTGTAGTAATATTATTTTGGGCACATGTATATTATACAGCTATTCTCATAAATACTCCATATATGGTTTTTTTTTTTGTAGTTACAAACATCATAGTATATATGCTATATATAGTTACTGCAATACTTTTTTTGGTCCTTAACCACTTACTAACTTTTATCCCATATGCTTTATTTCTAATTGGAATATTATATATATTAGTATCAATATCACTTCTTTATTTTGGATGGAAAGTAACTTCTCATTTATCGAGACGTACTTCAAGTGGAACAGTTCTCAGATATAATGTCATTCAACGGGTATTATTCTTGACAGTATTTTGCCCATTACTACTTATTTGTCGCGGATCTTTATCTATAATGCAAGCAGTCTATCATATTACTGGTTTACCGGTAAATTTACAAATTATTGACAATTCTCCTTTGGGTGATACTTGTTTGTTTCTAGCTACTGAATTGTTGCCATCTATAATTGTATTGGTGTCATTTTGGCAAAAGAGATCTCCTCCAACATTGACTATATCAGCAAGAGGACTTGGGTTTACTTCAGGAGTCTTTAATACTGGCATACATAATAATGAACCAAGTCAATTTGCTCTTGCAGCTACTATGCCACTTATTCAACCAACATCCAATTGGAATGCTCAAACAGAAAAAATATAAGTTATAGTGAAACTTTGGATTATCTTTAAAAGTTCTATAAATTATATGATGTAGTTTAAACATCACTATTCAGATTGCTAATAATAAATCAATAATATATTTACTGTATTTAATATAAGTCCAATAAGTTTATATTGTGTAGTTAACTATGGAATATTCACGATTAAGATACTTTTCTAGAGGAAAAAATGATGCACAGACAGTTTTAACATGATCAAATATCCTTCCATTTAGCTGGTATTGAGCTCTTCTAGCACTTGTTATGTCTGCAAAATATATAAAAATTTTCCCAGCTCCATTACAGTATAAGTTTTCTCTACTTTTAGGCCGTGGGCTGAAGATCTCTAAAATAGTACCAAATTTCTCTGCCTCAGTTTTTACAGAATCTAATATTGAATGATATTCTTGATCATCTAGTAATTCTTCAGGCTGAATTATATTTAAGAGTTGTACGACCTTACTTGGAGTTTCTCCAACTTTTTTTGAAGCACAAAGAATTAGTCCAATTATTGGGCTGCTTAAAAGTTTATATGACATACTTTTAGTTAAACTTGTAACTGGTTTGTATTCTCTTGGTGTGATAAAGGATATAACGGAAGCTTGATTCGAAGGTGTTGTGGAGGATATTGGTAGACTTGTTGAGTTAAGACTTACATTATTATTTGACTTAGCTAAGATTCCACTACTGAGTTGAATATTCCATACTCCATTTTTGGTACCCTCTATAGGTCTTCCATGAAACTTCTCAACAGCCTTGTTGCAGTTTAAGCTATCTTCGAATTCAAAGCTACCAACTCCTTTTGGTACTCCCGTTATTGGATCATATATAACTACCAACGTCTTTATTGGTCCAATAGTTTCTAATTGTTTACGAAGAGATTCTTCACTAATGTCTATTGGCAAATCTTTTAAAATACACTTTTCGGTTGAAATTTGTTTTGATTCAGGTTTATCTAGTACTATCTGAAATGTGTTAATAGGATCACCTTCTGGTGGAGGGATATATTCTTTGGGTCTTCTACATATAAGTTTACTTGAAGATGTACCAATTGGAATTCCATTTAGTTTAAGACAAAGTAATGTGTAAATGATAGTTTGAAGCTCTACACGAAAAGTTCTACTAATCCCATGGTTAAATGAAGAACCCCCACTTTTACTTCCTGCATTTGAAGAATATATATTGTGTATTGTACTATTATTGTCATTTACAGTTAATTGAGCATCTTCACATGTAATTTCTTTAATTGATGAGATAAACGTGTTTAAACTATCAGCGGGCTTACCTTGTAAAGCACATATAGCACCACACAAGAATGTAGATAATGTTTGAGAGTTGAACAACATTGGGACCTTCTCAACTATAACAGTTCGATTTATTGGATCTCCAGAGGGATCCCCTTGATCCCATCTAATTCTCCTCCTTCTTTTTATAGTGACGTCATTCAAAGCTTCAGACATACTATAATAAATAACTATTTAATTACTTAATATTTATTTTAATTATTCATATTATATTTTTTTAAAGTCAAGATAACATATATACCACTTTAGACTGGGTAACTGGAGGTACTTATGCTGGAGCGCCAGTGCGTCTGATTTATTTATGATTCTACTTAGTAGAGCCCCTTTTTTTTTTCTAAATACACAATATGTACTCAAATTGGGTTAATAGCACTTCAAACAGTGAATATACAAACAATATTCTTCTCAAAAATATCGGCTGGATAATGTATAAAATGGATACTAGACCAGATAACTTTAGTGTGATAGAAGATGCACTTGATATCATGCTTAGGTATATTGAAATATTAGCTAATACTGCAAGTCAGTACAGTCAAGTAGCAGGGAGGACTGAAACAAATATAGTAGATATACAGAAGGCACTTGAACATTTTGATTGGAAACGCTATGATGCGATATTTAACAAAGATGTTAACGATATTAAGAAAGTAGGTGAATTTCCCGGAAAATTCCCTCCATATATCAAGTCTCTCCATCCTACTTTACAAAGTGATACTGAGCCAGCTTGGGAATCTGTGATAAACAATAAGAATGAAACTGAATCACAATCTAACCATCTTATTGATATAGAATTATATGAGTTTACAGATTCTATACCTAAACATATACCTAGTTTTTTACCAATATATCCACCAAAATTAACTTATAGCTCAAATAGTACAAATAGTCATTGTTAAAGATATCAGACACTAGTTACTATGTACTGTTTTGATCAATCTTTTGCCTGACTTGTCTTATACTTAACTCATTATCAGTCTCATCAATTTTTTGTCTCTTATGTGATTGATTAATTGTATTAATAGCGATTTCATCAATATCACTCTCACTGCCTTCTATATCATTGAGTAGTTTATTTCGATCTGCACTTTTTAGACTTCCTATAACTATTTTGTAGGGTTCATCGGCTGTATTATTCAGAAATACTTCAGTATTTGACATGTCAGATAATAACTCATCAATTTGAACTAGTACATCACACTGAAATTCTCCTTGTGAATAGTCTGTTACAGTTAAAATTTTTCCATTCATAAACTTCCACTCCTGCAAAGTCTTCTGCCCACTTGTTTGCAAGAATTTACCTTGCTCCATTTCATCAGGATCCCAAATACACTTTTGATCAAATTCAATAAAGGGATCAATTAAACCTAAATGTCTGGATAATATATCTTTCACAAATTGTTGCAAAGTCCACTTAGAAAAACTCCGAATTGTCACAGTAACAAGTTGTTGAGAGCAGGCTAAACACCTTGATGAACTTTGTTCCAGTTCTTCTGGACATAATAAATACCTCCCCATGGGATTGTTTTTAATCCATACAAATCTGGATTTACCATAATTTGATTTATTTCCTATATTATTTTCTATTAAATTTTCTTTCTTTATTGTTAAATCTCTACTCATTAACATGAGCAATTGTAGAACTTGGACACCTGCAACAATAGCATTTGTTGAAGCTACTGCTGGAATAATTGAACCAGCTATTGATTGACAAGTCCAATAAGACTGCAATGGGATATTAAAATTGTAACATCTTAAATTACAGCTAGCAGTCACAAACTCCATGCAAACTTCATTATCTTTATCAAATTCCATTGAACTAGTTCCAATTTCATCATATTTTTCACTCAAAAGCTTCTCTATACTGTGATAAAACATCTTAGCATATTCAAATATGCTTAAAACTCTTTGAGATGGAATAACTGTATTATCAGCAAATTTGCATTGAGTCTTCTCATTTAAATTTTCTTTCCATCTCTCCCCAAAAATCATTTCAGCATTCCAATGCAAAGGTTTTGGTAGTTCTCTTTTTTTTTCCTCCCATAACTGCTTGTTTTCACAAGACTTCACGATCTCATCGTGAAATAGATAATTAAATATTTTTTCAGCATATCTACGAATTTTAATCTCTGAAACCTCCTCATCCAATGGAAATTGAATATGTGCAGCCATATCATTCAATAAATTTTCTGAGTTAGTTCTAGTTTTAGTTCTTAATCCAAATGCTAACTCAAACAAATATTTTGACCAAGTAATGCAGTGTTCAGGCTTTTCAGGAGTAGATCTTATTGTACATACAGCATACGACTTTGGTACAGGAGGTGGTCTGCATTCGTAGCAGGTAGTTTCTCTAGGTATTATTGGATGTACTTGACCATTATATCCCGCACTTCCAGCATCTATTAGTTTTACTCCGCTGCTTAAACACAGTCTGTTAACATATCGCCTAGCATCCACATTATCCAAAGCATTAAGAACCACTTTAAATTGGCTAAAGAAATCGGCATTGTAATCTTTAATATTTCCTACCAATCCAATTATATTTATCTTACTCTCATCATTACTTTTATATCTGCAATTTTTGCTTATTTCATTTCCTTCATTAGCAACAACTATAGATTTTGATTTCCCGACATGTTTTCTCCTAAACAAAAATTGACGATTTAAGTTACTGATATCTATTGTATCTAAATCTATTATAGTAATATTTAAAAAACCACATAGTGCTAGACACTTAATTACTTCGCATCCTATTCCTCCTCCTCCTACAACTAAAATAGGGTAAGTTGGAATTAAAGAAAATATATCATTCCCAACTATACTTTTTACGTTATCAAATTCTCCCATTAAGATAGTTATTACGAGAAATTTCGACTGATTTCTGATTAGTTATTTGCTTATTGAATTTTCAAAAGCAAAGGTAATCATTTGAAATTGCAAAACCTTGCAGACTATCTCAGCGCTAAAACATCAAAAGTATGAGTGTGACTTGCTTAAATAGGCTAATAAGACTGTATAGATTGACACTTTAAAGAAAATGAATAATAATTGGAAATAATTCAAATATTATGATCAAATCATGAGTGTACTTATTGGATTATTATTTTCATGGGATTATTTGTTTGACTATTATTTCTAGATGTAGTAGTATTTTGTCTGATCATACAATAGCAGCAACTTGAAAACATTGCAATACCATACATAAAAAATATAGGACCTGTAAGGTAAAGTAGAGTGATTATTCCTGCACTATGTGGATCATATTTATATTTTAAGGCACCAAATGGAAATAGATCAATAATATCCATTATAGCTCCAATAAATACTGGAGCCATAAGAAATCCAAATAGGTTAAATATAAATTGAGCTAGTGCAGTGGCCATAGGACGTATATGGGATGATACACATTTCATAGAAACAATCAAAGACATAGGTAAAGTACCTGTGAGAAAAAATAGTGCAATTGTTATTCCCCATACAAAAGCTATATAGGATCTAGTTTTGAGGATAGACATAGAGGCAATAAATCCAAATAGTGAGAAAAAAAAGCAGAAAGTTAATATCCAACCAAATCCTTGTGGTCTATACTCATTGAGTATATCACCTGTTATTCCACCAAAATAAACGCCTAATGTAGGTCCAATAAGAAATACACAAAATACTGTAAATATTGCTGAAAATCTATCAATTAAGATAACTTGTGTGAGATATTGATTCATCCAAAAAATTAATCCAGTTACAAAACAATAAACTCCACATGTAGATAAGGTTGTAAATATATATATAGGATTACTACAAATTTCACTGAGTTCTTCTTTCTTGTTTACAATATCACCTTTTCTAGTCATTGATGGCAAGAGTAGAATACTAGACCTCTGAAGTTTACTTCCTCTTTGGTAATTGACTTTATTTATATTGGGATTTGTTATAGGTTTAACTGAAAGATCATTATTTGCATCTGTAGAACGCTGAACTGTAACTCCTGAAACTAAAAGTCCTGTAGTTCGGGAGTTATCAGAATTAAAACTAGAATATTCCTGTCCAATATCAAGTATATTGGCTGGAAAAAGAGTTATAATAGCTATAATCGGGATAATTACGATGAATTGTATGAGAAATGGCCCTCTCCATGATAAGATACTGGTTATAAATCTGTCAGTGTAGGTAGAGTTTATATTGATAAAAATATCTTCTGTAGTAAAACATGTTAATATTCCTCCTAGTAAATACCCAGAGAGTATTCCAAGCATGCCAGATAATTGTTGATAGGCTAACCATGATGTTATATTAGATTTAGGTGCATATTGATCAACCCATAGAGGAATGTATACAATAACAACAGCCTGAAAAAATCCGGTAAAGAATCTAGCTGCGTATATTTCTCCAAGTGAATCAGCTTTAAAAGAATATAGGCAAGTTAAATTAATCATAATGAGAGATGATAACAAGAGTACTTTGGATTTTATAATTGGTAGGAATATGCCTGTAACTAAGCTACCAATCAAAAAACCCATATATACCATTGATCCTATGATACTTGATTGTGTGTATCCTACTCCAAACGATTTTTCTATCCATTCTAAGTTACAAGCAACGAAGCCGTGATCCATACAGACTACAATGGATAGTGCCACTGTAACAAAAAATTGGAGTTTAATCAATTTCCTATCGATGTTAGAGCTCCTTGATTGTTCCCCAGTTATTAAATAATTCTCATCAGATATCATTTCTCCTTCAAATAAAGACATGTATAGACCTTGTAATGTGGGAAACGAAGATCTAGAGGATCTTTTTGTCTCTGAAAGTAAAGATATACTATCCCTTTCACCTATTAAAGGCATGATTAATTGAATACGAACGATATTAATGTTAATTAAAATGTACAATTTTAAGATTTCTATATTATGAAAAGCTAGTATTTAAAAAAGAAATCAGGTCCAGCATAATCCCTCTTCCCCTCTTGAGTTATGGCCCAGAGAACAGTATAGACCTTTTTAAAAATCATGAACATATGCAATTCCACAGAATTAATAATATTTATACAAAACACACAGCTCTAGATAATTTTTAGGACAAAATTTATGAAGTATGTACTTAATCTTGGTATAGTACTAGTAAATAATGTCTAAAAACATGTTAATATTGCTTAGGGTATTACTATTTTAGCGGGAATTATGATGCTAAATGTGTAATAACTAACTATTTCATTTCAGCCTCTGTAACTTTTTGGGCTTCTATTAAACGAACGAATTCATCAGTTTTTTCTTCAGTAAGAAAGTGGCAACCATTCTGATCTATCACAGCCACCTCCATGTTTCTAGAACCCGATTCAACAACTTCTAGTAAACCCCTTACAGCTAGACTAGTAGCATCATCTCTTGATAGATTTTCTGTGTAATTCTTCTCAAAAAACTCCTGTACAGTTTTAGAATTCTGCCCAATTGCTTGAGCTTTCCACTCGAGGGCAATTCCAGACGGATCTGTTTGGTATAAGCCTGGGTTTCCATTTACATGACAACCAGCAATCAAAGTAGAAATGCCAAATGGGCGTACTCCACCTTTATGCGTATACTTCTGTTGTTGCTGAGCAATATACCTTGCTACATAGTCTACTGGTGGAGCATCTTCCACATTCAACCTATAACTTTGACATTCTATACGTACTTTATTTATTAATACTCTAGCATCAGCATGGAGTCCTGCGAATGCTAAACATGTATTTTCATCAACTAGTAAAAGTTTCTTAGCACTTCTTGAATCTTGTAATTTTGCTGCTGCTTTTCTTTCTACAGCTAATACAACACAATCAACTCCACGAACTCCTACAGCTCCATAGCCTTTCCTGACAGCTTCCATTGCGTACTCCACTTGTAATAAATGGCCATCAGGAGAGAAAACAGTTATTGCACGATCATAGCCTGACATCAATATTTTAAAGATATTTTCTGTGGAAGTGAGTTAATTTTTAAAGTAGAACTTTTACTCTGTATTATTTTCTTTGGCTATTTTAAATCTCCCTAGTGAGGGGTGTACGGATATATTTAAGTGTAGAAACCCCGCAAAAGAAAGAAAAATGAAACCAAGTATGAAGACCTACTATTATATAGGTTTTAATAGAGCTGCAGATATCTTAACAACTCCTAAATTATTAGCATATAAATTAATATTAAGTATTTTTATAGTCTATTATGTAGCTAGAAGGCATGAACAGTGTTTTGTATTTGGTAAATGGTGAATTAAGCAATTTGGATACATGTTATTATTGTGAGTCCTGTAATAAAATTATAAATGGAGTCGAGACTAACTTAGAAATAGAATCTTACTACTGTCCGAATTGCCTAGATAATATCCCATCCAGTGAAGCCTTTGAGACTAATTTTTGTTGTTCAAGATGTTTTGATTGTCCTAGATGTTCCAGTACTCTTGTAAACATTGACAGTTCAACTATGATAAACAATGAAGTTTTTAATAAATACCAAACTAATCTAGTTAGACCATTTATGTATTGTAGTCACTGTAATTGGTCTTTCCCAAATATCAATAATAGCTCAGCGGATATTTTTGAAAATTTATTTAATCTAAAGATGGATTTATTTCAATCAAAATCTACCGAGGATTTTGCCTCAAAACTGTCTACATTTGGCCAATTTGAATTGGATAAAACAAAGAGACATATAAAGTACATAAAAAATAGGATAGAATCAAGAGCACGAGTAGAATATGACACAAAACTAAAAATAGGATTAGGAATGACTCACACAACACTAGAAATGAACATGGACAAGTCACTAAACCAGGAGGAAAATATTAGAGATGGGCACTGGAGTATTAGTGATTTAGAGAATGACTTAATACAGAAGAGTTCAAGATGCAATAGTAAAGATATATGGGTTAATACTCCAATAATTAAACAACATTTCAGCTGTAAATATCTAGATAATTATCAACCTAGTAAATTTAATGGTCTAAGCTTGTTTCAATATTTGAAAAACCCTCAATTTATAAACCTAAAATATATGATCAAAAATAGTTCAATATGTACCAACTTATTCTACAATATTCCTTGTAGAAAACACTTAATGGTTCAGATATCCAAGAGATGTAATATTTGTCGACGTTTTGTTACAAAGGCACAGTTAAATCCTCTAGCTCAACCTTCATATCGTATTAACCTTTCTGCTAGTTTATTTATTCCAAATTTAAGTGTCGTATATAGTGAAAAGAATCCCATATATAAAGATAACGGAATTACCCAGATTGTTACTTTGCAAATAGTAAACTATATGGATAAACAGATTCAATTAAACTGGATACCTAAAAATTCTGAAAATGAAGAATTCAATGATCCAGAAATAAGTATTAACAATATTATTGTTGATATAGAACCTAAATCTATTATTTTATGGTCTAAATGGGATCCTTCAATTGATCAATTACCTCCTGATAAAACACAAAATACCTTTGATGGCTCTACAATATTAACGGATATACGGAATCGCAATAAATCTGAGATAACCGTTAAAATACAACATAAATCCAAGATATTTGAGAACAGACTTTCAGATAAAAAACATACTGAAGGTATAAATTTCCTTTTACATGGAAATACAACTTTTCAGACCCCTACTGCTAATAATGTAACCCTAGAATTTTGTGTCTACATTGACTTAAAGTAGGTTTTCCAGCAATATTAACTCTAAGAAATACAATATATTCTTAAAAATTTATCTTTACTTTAAATATATATATATATATATATATATATACATCAAGTTTTAGCACTAATTAGTAGGCATTCAACCTAAAAAGCCTTCTTTAACTTTGCAGGAATTATTGAGAATTTCAAAAAATCGTCGGAGCTAATCAAGCCTAGACAGTATTTAAGTTTCTAATATTCTAACTAAATAATCAAGTTGTTAAGACAAATGACATAACTCTCAACTCCTGATTAAGCTGAGTTACTATCAATAGATTATAACTTTAAATAAAACAATCACCTTATGTTACCTCTTGAAATAGTCATTTAATGATTGGGAATTATAACCAACCTATTGACAGAAAATATTATTAAAAAAAGAAGCTTGAATGGAACAAAAGTAATGTAAAGGAAATTAATAATACAATGATCGAGAAGCTCGTTTTTTCTTATAAATAATTATGCTACATATTCCAATCAGACATATGATAATAATACTACCACATATAAATAATATAAGAGTATGTGTTGAATCCTCTGCATTTGATATATTTAGTAAGGCTGGATGACCAGCGAAATTTGTCTCTAGATCCCTAGATGATACAACTTGTCCGTTCTGACTTGATCTTAACATTACTGCTGTTTGTGGACTTTCTACATCAGCTTCTCCACCTAACTTATTTTGTTTTAGCATTGCTTCAGTATAGGGAACATTTTCTAAACTATGTAGTGGCTCTGGAGCAAAAGCCAGCTCATTTGTTTCAGCTTCCTTTTCGATATCTTGTGGCAAAGTTATCGACATTGTTTCCAATATTTGAGCAGTAGGATCTACATGGCGTCTTCCAGCTGTGGTATAACATAAAATTCGGGTACTTTTCTTCCCATTATACAACTTACACTCTTTTTGGCTCTCTGCTCTTGGTAGCATCCGAAAATTTATTGCCTCAAGAGAAAGCCATAAGAAATCCTCACATTGACGGCCACATCTACTATAGCACTCAGAGCAGGCATCTGGAGTTGTTGGGTCACATCCATGCATTCCATAGTCTTCACAATTTGGTATTGGCCTTTCAAAAGACTTTTTAGCTTGATCTTCTAAGACTCGTACTTGTTTAGATAGATGCTGCTTTTTCTTAAATACATTCTTTATGTTCCAGCTATCTATATAATTGAATCCAGAGAGAAATATCAACAAGATAAAGATCTTGTTATAGACGTAAATATACATATTCTCTCTTTAGTCCAATAAAAGCCTAGAATTGACTTTCTTGATGATATACATTCACTCTAGTTTTTAACTAGTACATTTTTGTTTCCTCTTTTTTTTTTTTTTTTTTTAAAAAAAAAAAAAAAGAAAATTAAATACAAAGCTAAATAAATGCTATTACAATAGCACACTGGACTACTTTATGCGCACACAAGCCTAGATATTACTTCCACTCACTGTTGCCAAAAATACAATAAATACTAAAACCTTTGAGCAATAAAGAATTTATAGCCTCTTCTCTACATAATTTAACATTTCATTGTATGCATTTGATAAAATATTAAATGCTTCACCTGACTTTGGATGACAATTCTTGTCAGGATGAATCTGTTTAGCTTTTATACGAAAAAAGCGTTTAATATGATTCAATACTGAATTCTTATCACCTAGTGACATATCTCGAGGTATTCCAAATATTTGGAATGGATCATCTTTCCATGCTATTACAGACATTACTGCATAGGCTGATTCATAAGTTAAATTGGGATACATCTTTATGCAGGCTAAGGAATCCTTCTCAATGCCCATAGAAGTCTTACTTAATACTCTATTCACATATATCTCTTTAGCTGCTGCTAAAAGTTCCCCTTGTTTTTTTCTATAAGCCTCTTCTCTTATTGAATCTAATTTTGCAGCATTAGTTTTATAAGTTGGAGAGAGAAATTTCTCTGAAGAACAAATTTGACATCCTACTGAAACATCTTCAAGCTTACAAGCAAACTTATGACCCATATTACATTTTAGCCAAATACGAATACCTTCAATACTACAGGAGCTATCAATATTTTCTATTCCAATGAAACTCTTTCCTGTAGTCCTTTTTAATTTGCTCCGAATACGCTCTTCCAGATCTAAGCATTCAGGGCACTTCTGAAGTCGACGACCTCCTTTCCATCCGTGAAAGTTACAAATTAGCTTTTGAAAATCGTAAGGATTACTTCTATGTACTTGGCTTCTTTCATTACACTGTCTAATATCTGTGACTTTAACACTTCTAACCTGCTCTGCATCGTCATATTTATTATTGATAGTACCTTCTTGTAAACTTTTCTTCATTTAAGTTAGCTGTTTCTAAACATCTTTAGTAAAGTTTAACGAGTAGCAGCAAAGTTTTAATATTAAATATTTGTGGCGCTTATAAGTTCTACTTGTAGGAACCTTGGCGCAAATGTTTATCACTCCTGTTTTCAAAAGTATAACGCGCTGTATTTGTTATTAGTGGGTTTTATATTTTGCATTTGGGACTTGTGTAATTACAAATCTGATTGAACTAAAAAAAAATAATTACAGGTACAATAGAGAATTTTTTAAAAAATAATGGGAAATAAAGATAATCTACTTTGTGAATCTCTAAGGAAATATGAAGATCTTACAGTAGAAGAGTTTATACTTAACAAATTACGAGAATGCGTAAGTACATAATAGAGGTATATTCAATATTTCAATAAAAAAAAAGTAACTAACTTTAATATATATTTATAGAATAAAGAAGTAGAAAGCAATTCTAAATCATATATTTGTGAACTTAATCAAAGAATAGAGAAAGCTTTGAAGCCTAGCAATAAAATATCAATTTAACTTACTATAAACTCGGAATTATCTTTTATATGTTTAATTATTGGCTTTGTAATATGCAGGCTTTATAGAAAAAATAAAGAATTTGTACCTAAACCTCTACGAATTACATATACACCTAGCGCCACTGAAGCTCCTACTAGATTATTACGTTGATAATAGCCGTCTGTTACTTTATTATTATAAAGTAATTCGAGTTTTTTTTAAAAGTAATTTCCTATGGAATACGAAGTTTATTTGGGCTGTAATTTTATTGGTTTGATTATTGTTAGCTGTATATTTGTTTATTACTTCTTGTCATCTGAACCTCCGAGAGAATTATACTCCAAATCAAACTAAATATTACGATCCCAAAGATGTGTGAAAATGTAGATATTTATGGACATGTTAGGCGTACCCCTTTTAAGATAAAGAAGAAACTTAAAAAAAAAGATCCTAGTGACCCTGAGTTACAGAACACTAATATATACAATTCAACAAACAGTAATAGCTATACTCAATCACTTTACGATTCAACTATGAGCTTAAATTCACCAAATGAAAGATTCGAAACTAAGGGAAATGAAGATGACTCTACTGAAAGTATTGGACTAATCAAATACAAGGGAGATCAAGTCTTAGATAGCCTAGTCAGTAATAAAACTACAAACTCACATCTAAATAGTACAACTAGAACAAAGCTCACTGCTGCAGAAAAGACATTTCTTAAGATACAGAAACAAAGACTGCAATCAAAAATTGTTAGTAGGACCTCTATGACACATCGTAAACGTGTTGCACAATTTAATGCGAAACTTGCCTCACTACCAGAACACTTTGATATGCCAAAGGTTGGACCTGGGTAATGTTCATACTAACAACTAACAACACTTCCAATAGAAGATATATTAACTTTTCAGAGCCTGTATCTGATTAAACTAAACTAATTTGTATTTGTATAGAGTAAGCTTAGTGATAATTTTGTTTTTGTGAATTATTGTCAATTTACTTCGAAACACCACTCTCATGAAGTTAAGGCGCATTAACACGTATATATTGAAGAAAGTGTAAAGTGCAGATTCTTGTATAGTGAGGCTATCTTTAGGAAATATTGCAAATTATATATTCTAATGATAGAGTGGATATATTGAATATGAAGTCACTAATTTTGATATGTGAAGATAATAGAGATTCCAAAAATATTAGACTACAGCAGAATAGGAAATATATAAATAGTAATCGATGGTTTTTTGGTGAACAAAACATTCTAGATAAGGATGAGGGAATAGTCAATGTTCCAATTGATTATCATAACTATCGAAAATTTTATTTTGATTCAATAATTATATATCAAAATGAAGAACTCCAAGAATTGGCTTCTAAATTAAGTAGCTCTGCACTATTGAATAATTCCAGTAGTATAATATTATCTACTTCCTATAGATTTGGTGACAAGTGCCCTATACTTCTAGAAGGTTTATTTGATGATAATAATATATTATGTGGTCCAGGATTGATGCTGTTGATTGTAAAGATATTTTTAGGGAATATCAGTGGTCATCTAAATCAGACATATTATGTGGGTTGTACATGGAATGGTATAACTAATTCTGGAAAATTTGTAGATTTATTGAATAATTTAAATAATAACAGGCAGGATATTACAAACAATGATATATTATTTGCTGAAGCATCAATTTCTCCTAGTAACGATGATTTTGGGTATACTAGTTGTCTAATAATACGTAGTGTCAATACTCTTGCTGAGTGCCTCCATAAGTGTAGAAATTTAAGTGATTGGAAGTCTATTTGTCATTATTGGTTTACAGTGAGACTTTTTGAATACAACAACAATGATGGAGCTGAACATTTCTCGTTAACTAGCTCAGTGACTTTAATGTCTCTTGGTGAAGGCTTGAAATCTAGGATTTCTGGACAAGTTAACCCTTGGGATACTTTGGAAACAATATTAAATCTATACTATGGAAAATCTGACATTATAGATGATAATTTATCAATGAAAAAACTTGTTATAATGGTAAAGGACTATTTAGATTACCTAAAATCTCAGGATTTTAGATGTGATTTTGTAACACTACTATATAGACTTCCGTATGCTCTAGATCCCAGTATTTCTTCTCACAGTAAAGAAGTTAGATTTCTTCTTCCTTTGATGCTACATCATGAATCAATAAGTAACTTGAAAAAACAAACAGAATCTAGTACTTTGATATACCACAAAGGATATGAATATGACCATGATACTACCAACTACTCAAATGAGGAAAGCAAATATTTATCTGTATATGAATATTCTGCTGCTAGAGATTCAAGTTGCTACTCTGCACAAGATGAAAAATCTATTGAAACTTCAGAGTATGGATATGATTACGTCAGTCCAATTCAATCTCCAAGAAAATCACCCTTGTATTATGAAGGAGATGATGCCCCTACTCCTCCTCCATATCCAATATTAGATTTGAAAAGTCAAATTGATTATACTGAAAATAATTCTGTGAAAATAGTAGATGATATATACAATAAAGTAAATGAGAACTATTTATATCGGTTATCTGAAACTGATGTAGATAAGGAAACCATAACACAACTAAAGGATGAGACTCACAAACTTAAGCAAGAACTAAAAATATTTGAGGATACTCTACTTGATAAAAATGAATTGATTGTTAGGCTGGAGAAATTACTTGATACGAGGGATATAATTATTAAACAGCACATAGAAACAATAGATAAATTAAAAAAGGAAATATTAAAAAAAGATAAAGAAATTAAGATTTTATCTTCTAAATTAGCAATTATCCAGAAATACAAGAAGGAAAGAAGCTCTTTTAATGAAAAAGTAGTACCCGATTATAATATAACAGCTAAGAAATTATCTACGGCAGCAAATACAAGTTCTAAACAATCAATAGATATACAAAGTGCCAGATTATCTGGCGAAGAATTCGAAGATAATAACTCTTTAAAAAAAGAAAAACAAAGTGAAAATTTAAATGAATTTAACCAGTACTCAAATAATGCGAATTTATCTAATGTGGCAATGATGGCATTACAAAAGTATATTCAACAAAGAAAGTAATTGTTGAAACAATGCTATACTTTGCGAATACTTAATTCAAATCTACCTAGCCTTATTCCTCTTTTTATTATTTCAGCTGTAACAGAAATTTCTAAGAATTAATTTCTGTTTCAAAGAATGATTGAAATTATGGGGATAAGTATAGCCTTATAAATAATTGATATATCTTTATATTCATGAATTAAAGTGATCATTTTGTACTAATCTGAAATTCAAATATATCAAGAATATACTTTAAGACGAAGCTACAAATTCAATGAACTACTCAAAATTCTATATACAACAAGATTAGTTTTATATTATTAGTATAGATTGAAATTACTATTGTTTAGTTCAACTGTTCTAAACTAAGTCTTAAGTACTCATATCTCAAGCTTCTTTATATTTTTAAGCATTGTGATTTGATATATATATATCATGGCTTGAAGATCAATTTCTTAATTTACTTAGGTTACTTTTTGTGTAAAGTCTATTAATTAAAGTACACTATTAAGTGAGTATAACATTTCTTAAAACTACAATAATTAGGTACAATTTTGTCATCTATTACTATTGTATATAATAATACTTATCGGTCACAAGGTACTAAATGAATGGTGAAAAATTGCAAACCTTTAAGCTCTTACATGATCTGCTATTCTTAGTAATTTATTATAGCGGGAATAGCAAATAGGGCTTCCAAGTGCAAAAGCTTTTGTTTTTTTTATTTGCTACTAACAGAATACACATAGGTGAGACCATTTATTGTAGAAGTTGTAATCTTCGATTTTACTACTTTATTTGGTTATAATGTCTGATTTAGATAGTGATGTACCATTATCTCAAAAACTAAGTGTTTCAAAAAGGCGAAAGAGCATTGACAAAAGTAAGAACTTTGAATCAGACTATAGTGAAGATATTTCATTAAGAGGGAGAAACACTTTAAATAAGAATAAGAAGCAGAGAAAAGCAAAAGATAAAAAGGTAATAAAGAAAGCAACTAAAGGAGTAGTAGCTAAAAAGAAAGTAGCATCTAAAACAAGCAAGAGAACTAAAGTAGTTAGAAAACCAACTAAGAAGAATGTAAAAAGCAAGACTAATGAGTCTGATATTGACTTTAGTGAAAATATATCTGGCGATATGCATAAACTTTTCAAACCTGGACAGAAGTATATTACACCACCTAATGGAGATGGTACAAGAGCTTTTTATGAATCATTATACTCTGAAAATCCATATAGTCTTATTGCTCTTCGTTATTGTGTTGAATATGGAATCTTAATGGGTTCCAACCATACAATGGCTCTACAGCGTCTAGAACACTTACGTGAGAAGGGCTTTTTAAAAAGATCAGGAGGTGGTATTCAAAGTGATGCAATACAATCCTTACAATTTTATGACAAAGGTCTACATGTGAAAAAATGAAACTATTGAATGATAGCATATTTTAATTTATGATGAGAGTATGGACGTTAGGGACCAAATACAGAAAAAAAGTACAAATTTATCACTTTTTGCTATACTCTGATAGATGTCAATTTACATAATTAGATTTAATAATGCATTGTAATAAAGGTAATAAAGGTAATAATATAAATAAAAATGGACTTACAAAACAATCATATATGCCACAAGACGATCTAACTACTTTTGTAAAGGGTATTTTACGTTCTAAGACATATTCATTACCAGATATTAAATTACCAGCTTTAAGTAATGGTTTATCTAGTGTAATTGAGGCTTCTTGGTTGAATAGAACTGAGCAGATTATGCATAACCAGATATGCCCATTTGATTACACTAAAAATACCATTAGCAAGTATAAAGACAGAATATTGCTAACACCGCACAGATCAGAGGCAACAGCTGTACTTGAAAAATATAGAAATATTGGAGAACAAATTTTTGAAGACTATGGAGATGATTTGAATAGAGAATCTTCTAAATTAGTGTTTAATAAAGTTGGAATAGCTACACCAAGGCCAGTAAATAAAAGAGGTTTAAGTTCTAATAAAAGTTTGGAAAGAGATAAAGTACTTTTTTATTCTGGTCCTTTATATAAATATAATTCACCAAGAAAGGGATCCCACCACAAAATTAGTAAATATGGTAGTAGTAGTGGAAGTGTTGAAATTTTTAATAGAAATATATTTGATAAAAGCATGAAGTTTAGAAGTGAATATAATATTTCACCATTTCGTGAGAGAGTCTGTATAGCTTGCAGGAATAGGAAACTTCGTAGTAAGAATGCAACTGAGCAATATTGTCACAATGAAATTGTAATCACAGGAGATTTTGTATGTAGAGAGTCACCAATTAGTCAAACAGAATACTCTTATGATGGTAATATTGATGAAGAGATATGCAGCAACTCTAATTGTATTGTTAAAAAACTTAGTGAAGATTTGTTGACAGATCATAGATTAACGAGATTACAAGATATAAGATGCAGAGATACTTTATCAGGGTATATATATGATGATGTTAATGAGATAATTAACCAGAGGTATGAATCACTTGAAAGTAGAATATCAAATTTGGAGAATATAATGGCTTCAACAATGATTTATTCTGATTCAGAATCAACGGTCATACAGACACCTTGTATAGTTAGGAAAAGTAATGAATATGAAGAAAGTGTTGGAGGAGAATTAGAGGAAAGTGGTTTTGAGTCTACTGATAATAATGATGAAATAATAAGGGAAATGAACTCCTCAATAAAAAAAGAGATTGTAAGAGAAGTTATGGTTTTTGTTAATGAGCCAACTAGTTGTAAAGAAGTCACAAATTCGGCTACTTTTAAATTAACTAATAAGAAATTGAGTAATACAGATCCTATTAAAATATTTAGGGTAAAACCACTCACTATACCAATTGAGAGACCATCAATATAGTGGACAATAATATAAATGAGTGTGCTTAAAATATATTACTTATATTAACTTTAACTTGTGACTATCATGAGCTTTTTAGGAAAGCGTTAACTTTCAAGTTAGTAGATGCCGCAAGACTTAGTGAGTTAACTAGTTTAGTAGAAGTAT